AACGGATGGACCTGTATGTTTACGTCCTCTATTGTGATCGTGATCTCTATTGTTCAAACGACCTTCTTTGCACGAAAGCCTCTGTTGTATAAAGTGGCCGAATGAAAATCACTACTTGTCGGCTTCTGTCCCTGCGAGGAACGAGGTTGGTACCAATCTTGCGAAGGTTTATTTTGCATGGGAAATATGCGTAGATGCACAATATCCATGAGCGTTTCCCTGCGAGGGAGCATTGAGAAATACCTGCCCCTGCGAGGGGAGGTTTGTTAGCCTGCTTTGGTCAAGATCACAAAAACTTTTCACACTCTACCTGTTTTTTATAGGAGGGTAGTCAATTCCTCTAGTTTGAATAAATGTTCTGCTTTGTGCCTTCTGTCCCTGAGAGGAACGAGGTTGGTACCAATCTTGCGAAGGTTGATTTTGCATGGGAAATATGCGTAGATGCACAATATCCATGAGCGCTTCCCTGCGAGGGAATCAGTTAATGCGGGTGAAAGATTATAAGATTACCGAGTGTCTGTATAACGGACTTAACACCGTTCGTTATTATCAAACTGCTAAATATCTTTTAATATTTTCAAATATCTTGATGTGTTTTAGGAACTGAGGGTTCCTTTAACTTTGTTTCGATTTCAAAATTAAAACCGGGTTGAGAATAAATGCTAACGTTACAATCTCGAAATAACTCTTCGCTAACGTTACCTAATATATAACTTTTTCCTAATTACGATTCGACCGCGACGTGGATGGAATATAGTAATAAGACACTCGTTTACGTAGGACACACTTCGCGAATTAATTTACCGAAACGACGATTCTCGCGTTGACGGTTACGCTTTGACTGCACAGGCTCTGAACAAGACGATGAGGATGAAGAATTACACGAGGAGCTCGAAGAGCTACTACTCGAGGAATTGCGACAACGCTTATTTCGTTTCATTGTTCGATTGTGAGATCCGTTATTATATTAGCCGTATCACTATGTAATGTATTCTCATTATTACTGTAAACATTTCCATCCTTTGAATTATTCATTATGAAATTAATGATTTAATGATTCTCTGAAAATATCTAGATAAAAGAAATTTATTATTGGAAAACGAGGGTAGTTGATAAATTGTAAAAATAAATAATTACACATTTGAAATTGAACAATTTCGAAAGAAAGTAAAGTCTACCCTATTGATCAAAAATGCTTCATATACGGTTGGCAAAATTGTAGATTTACGTACTTGTATATATATAATATATAAAAAAAAAATCACACACATTGCTCAGATTCCAAGATGAATAGCTAAAGCTCCTGTATTATGGAGTATATGTGACAACGAAGGTGCCACAACACCCAGACCCGAGACAATATAGAAAAGTTCATTTTCTACAGCCCGCCCGAGAATCGAACCCGGGACCTCAGAGATGGCAACACCTTGAAACCGGCGTGCGAACCACTCGGCTACGGAGGTCGTATAAAAACAAATATAAAATTATTACTTTGAAAAAATAAATAAAAAATTTCATGAATTTTAAATATAATAAGAGAGGCTAGGGTATCTACAAAAGTTGACTTCTAAGAAGAAAGAATCGTTAATGTACTCACTAGATACCCGTTGAAGCACCTCCGTGCGCTGCAGGAAACAAGACGCCAATGAAGCAAGCGCGCAAAGCCTGCCTGGTGGTTGAGTAGAGTGACGTCAGATGTGCGAGTGAAAGGCAAAATATGTAGAAAGAGAGGCAAATAGGCAGGCAGGAAACCATAGAGCCTATCTCAAACCATAAAGTTTCAAATAACGGTCAAGTGTTTAATCTATACAATTATACAAAAAGATAATTTTCTAACTTTGTTTGTTTGTAGGGAGTACATACTCATCGTGAATTTTCACCTACTGGAAGCTACGTGATACGTGGCAGCTATAGGCTATAATTTACGCGGACTAAGTAACAGGAAAATAGCAAGTTGTTAAATATATACATTGGATACTATGTTGTGAAATATCATGATGTCGTCCACTTTAGTTTAAGTTTTCGGCAGAGATAGCATACATAATGAATTTTCAATATTATCTCATCTCTGGATGGGTACTTTCACTGCTAGAGATCTATCACGTGACTCCCATAATGTAAACTTCAGATTAATCGGGACTTACGCAAAATTGTGATTCATTAGCCGTATCGCGAATGATGCAGTTCATTCCAAGTCAAGAAAAGAGACTAACGAATTGAATTTTCTTTACCCTCTCATGTGAATAACAGGTGACAGTGATAAAAATTCAGACGATTCAGCGAGTACGTGTATGTTTAAATTTTCATACAAATAGTTCTAAAAAGTTTTTTAAAGCCCACAATCTTACGCCCTAACTCCAATTTTTAAGAGGACATTACGAGGTTAAAATAATACTTTTGTGTTACATTCAGTTAGTTACGCGTTAGAAGCACTAAATAATGTAATATGATAATCCCTAATGTTATTGATATCCTCATAATGTATATGGCAATATATCGTAGTCCTTCTTAATACGTTAAGTGCGTTTCACACAATCGCCGGTCGCGCTGCAATGTCGATTTTATCATTATGTCTCGAGTAATTGGGGTAAAAACTGAAAATCATTGCTTTGCTCTTTGAGTAAATAAATACTCAACGAGTTTTCTACCAGCTATTTTCCATCGCTGTAGTATACTTAATATTAAGTTTCTTGTTGTTGGTTTCATATTGTTAACTTTTCTTTTCTTTTTAATTATTTATGGAAATTTGTATGTAAAACATGATGCAAATAAAGAATTTATCTATCTATCATTATGTATGGATACTACGTTATGTGTAACCTAGTAAGTTGTGTGTATAATAAGTAGTTAATGATCAATTTCTATTAGAATTGAGGGCGAGATGTGTTTTATAACTCATTTTTATTATGTTGTTTGTCATTATTGGTTTATTGATTGAAATGAACCCACAGACATCACCTACGTTATCAAATAATGCCTTACGGATCTTACGGAAGATCCGTCTTGCGTACTGCTACGAGGCGTCCTATCGACACCTTATGGTCTAGATCATCTAAACTCGTTAATGTTAATCATAAGCATATGCGTAAAAATCCATTCTTTTTTATTTTAATTCATTCAATTCGTGTATGTCTTCCAAGCCGATTGGTACATTTCTGGCAAATTTAAAAATAAGCAGTGTAGCACCCTCACCTTACACGAAAGAAAAACGATTGGTGGCCTTCTACTACACCTGGGTCAGACCTGAATAGATTTGCCGATGGCAATCGCTGTTCAGATATGGTTGAAAGATACGTAGAAACAGACAATAATGCACCCACGTACCTTGAAAAGATCGATGACGAATTCCACCTCGATCGGACACCGGCCGGTTCTTTTATTGTCCAGTATATCCGAAATATGGAGTTGACGCAGTTTTCACATCATATGGATCAGGAAACACAAGCAGACACCCACTTAAAATATTTAGTCGTCCCGATGACTATTACGATGTTAAACGTTTTGTAGATGGCGTAAAACTACCCTCAAGTTTGTTAAATCAAAAATCGCGAGCACAAAGTTCATGACAGATTTGTTCCTGTATAATTCACACACATTGGAACATCGATTAAAAGCTATTTAAATCTAAAACACCTAAGTTCCTATTTTGATAATTTATGATTAATATATGAATAAGTAATGGTGAAACAAGTAGTGATAATACTTAAAAAAAGATACTTATTTTGATTACTATATGTATAGTACTAAAAATTAGTATAATTTTTAATAAAAAATAATCTCGCTTTGACGGCTTGTTTTATCTTTTATGCTGAAATCAAACATTCAAGCTTAGGTATTATGAAACTGCTCTGCTACAACATACCGCATTATAGCGCAACATACCGCATATATCGTCAGATATGTGCCAACCCTAACGTCACCAAAAGCTTAAAATCATAGATCAGCTTTTTATATGCAAATTAACAATGTAACAAATAAAACTTTATAAAATATCAGTATTAATTCCAAATCTGTCTAAACTCGACGCAACCCTTTTTGCCAACCATATAGCATTTCTAAAAAAACACAGACATCAAAAACAAGGCACCTAAAACAAAACTCAATAAAAGTAATGAAATAAACTTTATTTATATAAAAATATATTACATTTCACCTTACGTCCCCTCTTAAGCTCTTATTGATTTATTTAGCTGTACAGAAGAAAAATCCAACAGATTTATAAAGAGAAATGAAGAATTTATTACTCTATCACATTAACCTAAAACTATAACCTAATGAAAAACAAGTAGTTACATATTGAATTTACTTCAATACATAATACCGTACATAATGAATGGATTAGTTATCAAATTGAAGAGAAATCATTCATTTTCTCATTTCAGACTTTTAAACAGTAGTGTTGTATTTTGATTTTCTAGAATTGTATTGATTTGTAGTCTGTGGTTATTACCTTTTTTTTAACAAAAACAGAGTTTTATTCCAATTGTTATACACGAAAAATATTTTAAATATAAAATGTTGATTACGGTTTATTATAAGGATACAAATGAAATATGTCATATTCAATAGCCAAAATCAGTGTTGTTTATGCTGAGAAACGAAGTTAATTTAACATTTGAGTAATGGCTATTAAATTAAATACAGATGCTATATTTCTAAAATATTTCCTTATTTTGGTTTTAAATATAGCTATAATATTTGTAAATATGTAACAAAATATTTATTATTTCAGTATTAAAAGACAAATTAGGAAGCATTTACTTTTCGTAGCAGGATCACTACTTACAATAAACTTATTAATCAGCTAAGTTGACAATTAAATAAACAAAAACCATAGGCGTTATGATAAATATTCTTGTGTTGAATTATTCCATTATCCACAGACTATTTACAAATCAATAATAATTTTTTTAAGTTTTTTTTTATTCTAGATAACCTTTTTTGATCTTTTTATTATTACACAACTTTTTGGGTGTATAAATGTTTCATGAGGACAATTATTAATTGTATCTATAATACAAGTCCTGTTTCGGAGAATGAGGCTCGTACTCTTCTTGTTTTGGTTTTGGGACGTACGGATTCTTCAAAGGATCAGCGTTTAACCTGAAATTGAAATTTAATATAACAAAATAATGCAAAACATTTTTAATTAATAATATTTGTAACGGCACTACAAATATTTTTAATTAAAAAAGTTGTTTAAAAATGTTCTTCTTTTCATTCGCTTGGAATAGCAAACAATGTACATTCTCTATCTTTTTTACCGAGAACTCAAATTTCTTTTATTTTTATTTTGTTAACCTGTTAGTTTAAAATAAATATTTCAGTCCAATCATGAACGATGAGAAATCGTAAATTAAATATCTGTAAAGGTTCCTGAGTATTGAGAATTTAAATACCACTGGTAATGTTGATTTATGCACCAGGCCGGGTGACGGACAATTCTTTATGCTGCTTAAATTTGAATGACAAATTACCTATAATGATTGACTGCTTGCGAACAATCAACATTGTACCACCAATCGCAAGTAAACTTCTCCTGGTTGAACAAAGTTCCGTTAGTGCAGAGCAAAGCCGCTCCCTGGTGGCCCTCGCGACCGTCATGGCAAATATGGTAAGCCTGGAAAGAGAGATAAAAGACAAAACTTCTATAACAAATTATTAAAAGTTAGTTGGCAATACGATACTTATTTCTAGTACAGAAAAACATAGCAAATGGTCTTGTAAATAGAACATACGGTTGTCTCTTCATATAATTACATGCGCAATCCTATATGCGTTTTAGTGACCTGTAGAATAGTTTACTCATCTATTTTGTAGAAACAGCACCACATATTACTGCAAAATCTCTTCATTTGGTTTTGAACTTTAATTTATACTTATTCTGATTTTTTCAACTAGAGGAATAGTGAAAGCGTTGCTTTTTAAACATTTAAATTTTTTACATCATATTAAATTCTTAAAAGCTATAAAACCCTTATAAGTCAGGAACATCTATATTATCAATCAATCAATAGTATTATAAAGAGGAAAGATTTGATTGTTTGTTTGTTTGAATCATAGAATCAAATAGACTCCAAAACTACTGTACCGATTTTAAAAGTTCTTCGCATATTAATAGCTACATCATACACGGTTGACATAGGCTGCTAATAACGTTTGCGAAGTTGAAAGCAAGCAGCTAGTATTCGAGTTCATAAGGCCAAATTTTGTACTTCAATCATAGATTTTATTATTAGTTGCGATTTCAAAATCGGAAACCCATAAGATACAGTATGTCCACAAAGTTGGTTTCTTTTGTATCTATTAATGTGTACCAATCAACATCGAGTTACTTTACTGTACGGACAAGGTTTTTTTTTTGTAAAATTAATAATACAAAATAATTCAATAACGCATATCTATTGCATTGTATGTCAACTTATTAATTTATAATTCATCATCATCATCATTATCGTCTGGTCTTTTACGTCCCCACTGCAGGCTCAAGCCTTCCTTATGGATGGATAAAGAGGATGTGCTATGGCCATCCACGCTGGCCCACTTAATGTGCCTTCCGAAGCTCGGGATATTAATTGTTTGGTCACCCAACCCGTGACCAAGCCTTACGAAAGTTGCTTAACAAAAATGATCGGGAGCCGCAGCGCTTATCTACTACGCCTCTGAGCTAATTTATAATTATATTGAGGGAAATACTTTCCGAATCTGTGAACGCTTCAGTTAAAAAAACTACATTGTTTCTTAATTCGCAAGCAAAAAAATGTTTGGAAGTCTCAAAATGTTACCTAAACTTTTTGTTATTTTCCTAAAACATTTAAAATCTTCTTAATAAAAATTACTTTCAATAAACCTACTTACATATAAAGAGAACCCATAAGTAAGTAGATTTTCCGCTCCTATAAACGCACAAAGACTTTTCACACCAGTTATTCGTCAAAGCATTTATTTTAAGGGTATACAATATCATGATTGAAATAATAACTTTAGATTACGGACCGTCCGGGCTTTGAGCCTGGTCGCCAAGTCTTCAAACTTATTCAATTTGCTGAAATTGGTCAACCATAACAATTTCGTTGCGTGGGAATTTGGTCTAACATAATTATTTGAGGCATGGGGGACTTCAGACTAGTAATAGTGATGTTGGAAATTTATATCGATATAGTTTGTATGGATGATATACCTACATATGAAATTACGATAAAAAAAATAAAATCAGTATAGAAGTAGAACAAAGAATAAACATGAAAAGAGCACGAGAAAGAAAAAAGATCGACTGGCTTGATATTAAGAAAGGACTATTAATATTGATACAGTTATGCTGATGAAGATTGCAGTGAATAGATTATAAATGGCACTGGTGGCAACGCTAGTTAGACAATGTCATGATTATATATCAGCAACATTTATTTTCGTTGTCAAAGTTTGAAGTTTTGTTTCATCTCCACGGGTTTTCTCCCATTTTTTTAATTCTGCTTAAAATGACTTGGAATTTAAATAAATATAATATTATTAACTTTTATTCAGAAGTAGCTACAAATTCATCTATCACATAGACAGCAGTTACAGGTAAATTAAGAATACTTTATCTACTAAAACTACATTTGATTCATCTATTTTACTGTAATATGTGTAGGGTAAAAGCCGGATAGTTGCCTCAGTTTCAAATACACTACGTTAGGCTTGTTGATCGTATTTGGACTTGATTATAAACGGAAGTACTCCCCCCGTAGGTCTCGGTGTCGCATAAGCCGTTGAAATAGACGCGCGTGGTTTGTCTGTGTGAACAAAAAACTTCGGCGGCAATGTTTTGACGAGCGTCAGAATTATATTAATTAGTAATCTCTGTTAAACATTTTTAATACTGATTACGATATCAGCAATTTTTTTTGTGCCTTTTGCATGCATTTGGGCTTAAATTGGGTTTTTGGATTGGCACTGTTTATTATTTTTTATTAATAAATACCTTTTATAATTCTTAAATAAATAGGGCAAGTACCCGTATCAAGAAGGATAGTAGCCCTATTAAATTTTGCGGATAGTTTTCTTAGGGCAAAAAACTGTAACTAAAAATTTTTAACGAGCAAAGACAGATTCTTGTTCTGGGTGTTTTTGTATTTAGTTTTACTAATAAAAGAAATACCTACTCAAAGGCAAAATGCCTCGTAAGTATAAACAGAAGGCGGGCGTGGTGCCGCGCCATATCAGCTGGACAGAACACGCACAATTTAGCACTTGCGTTCGAAGAACTAGATAAAAAACCCTGGCTTCTGATGACAATAAATACTAATGTCAAAATAGATTATTATATTTCTTTATCTTTAAAATTATTACTTACTAATTAATACTTTAATAATTTAATTAGTACCGAATAAAGGATCTCAGTAAATAATAAAGACTGAATAATTATCTTAATCGATGATAATGTCAACGTTAATTGTCACATTGTTCTATCTTTAAAATAAGTAATTATATTTCATTAATATTTTGGATATCTAAATACCATTTTGAAGTCTATTTTTGTTGTAATTTTATAATAACAGTTTAACATTAATTTATCATTATCAATTAATAAAAGATTGTGGTAAATAATTAAAGCTGATTACTTTAATTAATATAAGTTAATTTTTATTTGAAAAATACATAGATAGGCATCGATCTTCACATAAGGCAAGGATCCCCCGAAACATTGTTAACGCTAGGCTACTCTCCGCGATAGCAGGAAACTATCCCTTTTTAGAGGTCATATAAAACAGGATTTACTCAAAACTAATAATATTTACATTTAAAAAAAAATTGGCTACGATAATAGATTAATAAACGATGTTCAAGAATACACTTTGAATAAAGAATTAACTAGTATACATTTTTAATAAAAAAGGTTTTTTAAAAGTGTGGTAACTATCCGGCTTTTACCCTATACAAATGGTTCTTTGACGCGATAATATCATTACGTAATAATATTATGTCCATATCGGTAATGTTTGTATGCTAAGATTTTTAATTTAAAAAAGGACAAATATTCATAATGCGGGTGCAACAGCTGGCGGGAAGCTATTTATTTAATATAAAACGATTTAAGTAGCTAGTTATAGGGACCTATCTGCTATGATAGGTACTTTTAATTTTATCTTTATTTATTACAACTCGCAGCACTAGGAAAGTGCACTGATGATTGGATGGACTGACAGATTTTAATCTCATGCCCGAATTGAGTTCGTGTTACGCCGATAGCGTTCGCATATTCACTAATTAAAATTGGTATACACACGTGACTAAGTTTTTTTTTGGGTAATAATAATAACCTAAATTGTAGAGATAAATCTTATTTATAGCAAATGTTAGTTACAAAATAAGTTTAATACTAATAAGACAACTGACTAGAGCATTCTATATCTGCATTTGTTAATAACCATCAACCCATAGCAAATGCTCACTGAGTCCACTTGGCGAGTTTTGGCTCGTTCTCTCTATAATTCTATCCGTATAGAAGATGTGTGCCTCAGCAAAGGGGACATTTATAAGCTGATGATTATGACGAGAAAGTACTATATACACGTAAATACTAAAAAAGTAATAACGTCACAATATTTACATGCAAAAAAAAATAAAATTGTTCACCATCGTCCATGTCATTGATATTATTGAAAACAAAAAGAAATTTTGTTGACTACACTTCAGGTATATGTAACAAACAATAATAAAAACAGAAATAAACAGTCCGAAGTTAACGTGGGCCCTATCTTAACATTTCCAATTGGTCAGAATGATACAGAGGCATTTTTATTCTGATAATAAACTGGTATTCTATCTGCTGAAAATATCACCCAATAACGAGTTTCAACATACCTATTATATGCTCTGTTTTAGCTTCTTACTCAATAAAGATTATATTTAACCAAAGTTATTAAAAATGAATGAACTCTTGTGACAACCAACTGAGTGCTGCGGACGAAGGCTATGAATCATCTATTACACGAGGTCCCCGAGATTATGTCGTAATAAATTAATCTGACTGCGAAGAGATGACGGATTATGATCACGACTCGAGTTACGACTGCATTGCTAACGAAATCATGGGGTCCCCACCACTAATAATAAAGTTCCATTTCACGACTTATATTGTTTTAGCGGTTTTTTTTTTTTGTTGTTATTGTTATTAGACTACGTTCTTTTTTCTTTATTTATATGGCCTACAACTTTGCCAAATTAATATATCATCCCGCAGGCCTAACTCATAGAATTTTAATATTTAAATACCGTGGATTTAACTATTCTAAACTCAGAAACTACATACTAATTTGGAATTCTATAATAATGAAAAATCGTCGCACCATAGACGGTCGATCAAATAAAATCGACTTCAAAAAGTTCTGGTCGCCATAGTTTTTCATATCCAAAATAATAAGTACCAACTACCTGATTTTTGTGATTTGGCTCGCCTCTTGTTTCAAACTAAAGCTTTACCTATTACCGTTACAAAGCCAGAGATTTTGGCTACCTGCCCAAAACCAAGGTGTTACCATTAATTATTATGTAGATTGTACTTGTTCAACATACTGCTTTATTTTTATGTATTTTATAGCATGAAGAATCTTTTTTAAATTAATAAAAATAATGTAATTGAATTTTAATAGCTGCATACTTCTTTCGGTTGACTTTGTAAGTCAGTAAACGCTAATAAATTATAATTTATAAGAAAAGACCAAGTTCCTCCTGTTTTTAGTATTGATTGTCAAAATAAAGGCGTCTGAATTAGTTGTATGCTAAGTAATTTTGAGACCTACTATTATTCCTGCTATGTTACCAAAAAGCCTATAAAATTTCCCAAGCTTTTGTTATTATTTTAGCTGTCGCCGTATTTCAATCCACGTTTAGACGAGCTACCTAAACAAATATCTTTATTTACAAATAAATCCTCGTTACGCATGCAAAAATCGTTACGAAAAACTTTTCAGGAAAATTTGAAATATAGTGAGTTTTGTGCGCGAGGCATTTTATCAAATTTAGAAACGTTGTAAATAATCAACGTTCAATACATATATTTTTTATTTTGAGAATAAAATCCTCCTTTATACACAGTTTTGTTATTGTAATAATTTCAATATTACAATAACAAAACAAGACCTTGATCAAGAAAAAGATTCACAAAATCAAGAATTCTATCGGCAATTCTATAGCAAAACTAAAGAAATTATCAAAGTACTTGTTATTTAAGAAATTATATTATTGATAGCATCGAATAGTATTACTCAGAAGACTACCGATAAAACCATTAGCATTTCAATTTTCTATTTCAAGAACGACAATTTTGTTTAGACTCTCAACTATTATATTAAAACTCTCTATTATTATAAAAATCTATTACAATTGAATCTCATGAGATCATATTTCGAATATTTTTGTACGATGTAATAGTAATTAATATACAAAAAATATTTTCGTGTAAGAGTTGCCAAGACGACACATTATAACTCGATCTGTCATAATAGGTTTTACATCGTTAGAGCAAAGCTTCCAACTAATTCTACAAACATTGCCTTTACAAATTAGTTTTAGTTAAAATATATAGCTTGACCGTTGCGTTATTCAAAGAACTATTATTTTACTTAAAATATATCGTCCACTATAGACATCATATCTTGAGAATTTTGTTTATCTGGCATAATCAAAACTTAATGAAGGTTCAAAAAAAGCGCATGCTCTTTAAGAAAATGTAGATAATGCGCTTTGTTTAGCTCTTCTTTGCGGCCACTGCAATGGCCCTACAATATGAATACCAGACCATAAATGATGATTAATAACAATAAAGTATAAAATATTAATTATGTGTCGTTCACTAACCTGGCATCCAGTCTCGACATTCGCGTACATCCCCGGCCTAACTGGCACGTGGTCACAGGAGAAGCTGGTCTCGGGTACCTCGTGATAGATCGGGAAATCCACTCCTGGTACTCCGGGAACGTTGCGGAGATCTTGAGGCTTCTCGTGCTCTCTTAGAGGTTTACGATACTCTTGTTGTTCGTATGGATACAGCTGATATTGCTTAGGGGGAAAATACAATTATTCTATGATATTTGATATTACATAATGGCTTGGACAGTTTCAAGGTATTTATACTATATCGGAGTGTTGTATTACTTTCGTTGTTTTAGATAATTACTAAAAATGTATATTCTACTAATTACAAAATGTAATTTGTAATGACTATCCTTTGGTTACTGGGAATGTACCTTAAAGTCTACTACAGTTACCAAGGCATGGACTCATTTCTCGACGCTTATAAGTATTAAACACTTTTTACTAATATGTTCTACTTATAATAGTAATAACCCCACCCTACTAAAAGTTGCGAAAATAATTTCTGGTCACCCATCCGACAACCCACCACTGCAAATATTATTTGACTTTCACAATCGTTTACTTATACACCAAACGAGTTATAAATCGACAGCATCAATCACAAGTTGTATAAGCGCACGCACTTGACATAGATCCAGTTCTTTTTCTCTTACATAATCATGTGTTGCCAACCTTTATATAACCTTTGTTTCTTCTTATTATCTCGTGATTGCATATGAACAAATATTATTATTGACGTATGCTTTATTACTAAATTGCGATCAACTATAACCAAACTTTTAGAGCCAGCGCACACAAGCGATTTTTGGTCAGCCGATAATTTGATCGCTCTTGTTAATAAGTAAGGAGCTATATTCATGTACGCATTTTGCGATAAAAATCGGCCGGATGCTCCACATTAATTACCAGAGCAATCAAATTATTGGCTGACTAAAAATCGATAGGACACTCTGGTACTTAAAGCAACAAAAAAACTCAGCAATATTCTTTATTTTTCTGTGACCCCATATTTATAAAAGAATGATTCAGTGGAATAATTTAGAACCAACTTCGGTGATCCTTACTCAATATGTGACGATTCATCAAACAAGTTTTTCGCTTTACACAGTTAAATAGTAGCATTTGAAGGACATCAAGAACATTTTATCTATTTTATGGACTGAATCATAAAAGTGCAATTTGAAATGCATGTATTTTTTACAACGGTCGTCTAAATATCAAACCTTGACTCTTCAAGCCACGGTCGCCTATTTGGGGCATTATAAGATAAACAAGAATATTTTAATGGCCAAATAATCGATGTGTGAAATGAATACATTTGCCTGCGACATTAATTTAAGTTCCATTCATAGTTTTAGAAGAGCAGTAAAAATGTTTATGTGCACAGTATCATATAAAAAATTACCAGATGCAACTCTCTAAATTAAAACGAAATAACTTCTTGTTGCAAAAACGTCCATTAAAATGGACATATCATTAGTTTAAAGTCACACTCCCGACAAAAATATTCAAATTTATGGAGCTGAAAGTCATCACTGAATCTTAATGAAAATTTGAGCAACTGCTAGTAAATAGTCTAGACATTGCTTCTACTCGTACACTGTGAAGTTGTTAGTCTTTAAAAAAAAAATGATGTTAATCCATCCATTATTCTCAATAAAATAATAATAATATGCATATGTATATTGTGTAAATAGTATCCCTTGATTATAACTTGCTTACAAAACATTATAGATAGTGAGAGGAGGGACAACGGCCGCGCAAGTCATGGCCGCCCGGCCGGCCGCGCGCCGGTAAGTTGCGCAAACGCAGGTTCCGATACGGAGAACTTAAATGTTTGTGAGGGATGTCGATACTACTATCTTTTTAGTGTAAAATTTCTTTTAATATGATTATGTATTTAATATGTTATTGATTGCACTAAACTTGTTAATTAGAAACGAAAATAACCTTTGTGTGAATATATTTATTCAAAAGATATTTTCATTTCTAATATAGAGAAAAATGCATCAGAGTCACAGAGTAGTGTATTTAAAGAGTATAAAAACAAAATTTTAAACAAGACACGAATTGAAGAATTAATTCTTCGTTCACTTATGATTAGGATAAAATTTTGAATGTATATTTATTGTCGTTTACGTACTTTCTTATTGCCAAAATCTATATCAAACATATTATAGGATCTATAATAATAAAAATAATCATCATTATATTAATATCATAGTTAATAAAATAAGTATTTGTAATTTACATAATTAGTTTATAAACTTTTGTTCTAATTAAATTCATTCGATACAATCCAATAAAATAATTCTAATAAAGGCGGTAATAGGTAATCAATCATAAAGACAAAACACTCATAATAAGTTAATCAGTCGTAGATAATTAATTATTCTGAAAACTCACTTGGTGAATTAATCCGTTTATTTTATAATCCCTCACGGGCCGATATGCTGCCTGCTGGTGACGTAACTGCTGTTCCTGAAACAAAAGAAAAAGGTATATAGCGATTAAATTATTAATTTAAATAAAAACTAAAAAAAGTAGAACCGACTTTAAACTTTAAATAAATGATAAATAATACTTATATTCTTAATGGAAAATGATTAAAAATTCCACTTAGTCCCTGGCATCCTGAGATGGGATCAGTGCCAGGTACCAAGTAGATTTTTTTAGCATTTAGTGTTTTCTCAGTAGCAGGACTTGAAGCAGATTTTATTTAATTGAACCTCTATGTTATTGACATGACAACGTGTTTAAAAAAAAAGCGTAACTGGCTGACTTAAAAGACATAGGATACAATTAAAAAAAAATAAACAAATTATTAAAAATGTAAAGAAACTTTTTGCCCAACCTTACATACGCCAAGTAGAAATAATTAAATTAAAAATAATAATTTAATTATATGCTTTTGCGGATTAATTGGCTAAAAAATATTTTATAATTTTAATAAAACCAACAAATCAAAGAACAGCAAATTTAATAATATAACTTCTGTAAGGAATATCAAGAAACAAAATATAATAACTCTTAATTCAATTCATAACAGAAAACTGCTCGATTTCATCCACTTTTTCCGTATAAAATAAACACTGTTACCCATTTAATAAAAAAGTTTCACTCGTAAAGAAACAGAAAGTTCCGACTCTAGGATTTTATTAGTTAGTTCTACAGCTCGTTTTTTTGGTTGCTATATTTCATACTCAGCGATTATATTACTGGTCTTCTTTTAACGAAACTTGGTTGTTAAATAGTAAATTGTACAAGCACAACTTTATATTATATAATTAAAGAGTAGGTACAGTAGTAAATCAAACATCTACAAATGACAAGTTTTGATAATAATTACTAGGGTAAGAATCAAATCTATTATAGAAATTTGAAAAAATTAGAGAAATTCATTTCAGTTTCCATACAATTATTTTGTATGACATTGAACTTAATAGATTTTGACCTATACGCTCAATATATAAAAGTTTAGAATTGAGTGGGGAGACTGGAGTATTGTATAGTCTGACGTGCAGTTAACTATAAAACAACAAAATACCCCAACACTATTTACGGCATTATACTGACAGAAATTAATTTATACTAATACTATAAGGATGTAAAATTTCCAAAAAAAAAAAAATTTCCATTTTCAGGAGGCAATCTTCGGAAAAACCGATCCGATTTAGATCCGGTCATGAAAATTCATTCATGGCTTCAGATGCTATAGGCTATAATTTACGCGAGCAAAGTCGTAGGGAAGTAGCCAATGAATAATATAATTTATATTTCAAACAGAAAATTAATAGGTTAAGGCTTTCCAAATACTTAACAGTTTTTCGTTGTTAATTTGCCTCGCCAAGGTGCCAACACAGATATTCCTTTGCCTTAATTAAATGTATAACTCCACCGTCTTACTTCAAAACAAGACAGACAATAACGGTCAACGGAACGTTCGCGTCAAACCAAATAGGCCATTACCGGAATCGTAATAGAGTCTTAAGTGCTACGCAACAGGCGTCCAATCCGAGGTGAGAATTTGTGAAATTACAAGCTGAATACCAATTTTGTGGCAAGAGTAAGTTTCAAACATTTTCCACTTTGAAGAGCGTGATCAAAGAAACAAAACTAAAAAACAGGCATCCGCGAGCCAGGACGATAACGAGAGTAAATTTAACCAACGGTAATTCCCCTTTGAGGGTCCCCGGGGAACTTGGAGAAAGGAAAATTGCAAAAGTTAGTGTTCCCATAAGAAGGGACGCATTATTGCTACTAAAATATCTGTTTCGGTAAAATATTGACCAACTACGCCGTTCTAGTCTGTCAAAATCATTATTTTTAGTGGCATATTGACAGTCGCATAAATGGTTTTTTTTATAATTAAAGAAAGTTAAGGAGTTTATACTTATTGTTATTGAGGTGGTTTAAGAGCACATTAGTGTAGTAGTTAACAAATTTAGTAAGTAACTGTCGTAAAAGCAGCTTCAGTTGTCTCAGATTCTTCCTTGTTTCGGAAGTTTAAGCTGTTAATCCTGGTTGCAGTTTCTAACACCCACAGACCTTGGCCAACCAGCGTGATGACTTATGGCCTGGTCTCCCTATTCCATCTATAGTGAAATTCTGTTTCCCAGCATTGAAAATATTTATAAGGTAATGATAAAGATGCTTTATTTATTGGGAATCACACCTTGAATATGTTCTAAGAAAAATTGGTGTGACTGGCGACTGGTGAAAAATAAAATAATATTTCAAGCAAATAATGAAATATGACAATCTCTACATTTATCATTTCCTGTCTGTTAGTTTTTAAGTTCATAAATTACGGCGTTAGGATTTTAAGAACACTCATTTCCTTCACCAAACCGGGTTATTAACACACTCTAATTTACATTATATTTCTATACCGAATAGAGTGGGACAGAAAATGAAAAAGTAAACAATATATAATAAAAGTACGACACCAGGGATAAAAAAGTCTGTATCACACAACGACCTCACATTAACACAATAGCGAATTGTACCAGAGGGACCTACTATGTATATCTGAAAACACAGAAAAGATGTTTCGAGTTATATCGAAACTTTTTCACAACAAACGCTTTGGAATATTATTTCGTGCTGATATTACTATTATACACTATCTACATATATTGCTTTATGAAAGGTAATAATACTATATGTCACTATGTAAGGTACTGAGTGACCTGTGACCTGAGCACCATTCTAATATTGTTATCATTATTGAATTCACATACAAAGAGATACAAAATTTAATAAATCAATCATCATCATTATGTACTTGTAAATATTTATCTTTGTTTTTCTAAAAATTGTATTTGGAACTATCCATTATTTTTTCCGTTTTCTATGACGTTTTTATCATCATCGTCATTAGTTAATGTCTTTACCAGATAGAGCATAAGAATTCTCTATGGATAGAATCATATAGGTCGAACAAGCCTTAACCAACAAGCAGAGAACGACGGCCATGCCTTCACATTCTATAATCGTCCATTACAATAATATTAACCACCGGTTAGCAAAACACACACACTAACGACTGGGCCATTGAGCTCTTCTTATTTACTAGTACAGCCGTACATAATTAAACATACATAAGTATGTCTCCATCCTTGTCGTCCTTATTGTAATATGAAATGGTCCTAAAACCATAATTTTAAAGATTTTATTGGATTATTTAAATTTTATAAAATGTACTGAAACGATTAAAGAGATAGATATTTTCTTATATACATGATAAGCCCCCAATATATTCAAACAATATACCTTCAATGGCAACAAATTCCCACGTTTGTTTTGTCATTTGATATTTCCATAGACAAAATATCAACCTTAACAAGCAAAAGCCTAAACAAACAATGGTAGTAACAACCCAACAAATAAAGCGTTATTGACCGGCCGAGCCGGGCGTGCGTTTTGGCCGCGTTATTCGTATTTGTCCTTGTCCGTGTTTGGCCATAATGCACGACGATCATATATTCGTTATTAATCAATTATTTTCACTTATATATTTAATTAATTTTACATTTACAATTCTGTTCTGAACTAATTTTCATTTTAATCGAAAGTTTAAAAAAGAAACAGACCAACCGAAAGAAATATTTTCAAAAATAACTCTAATGAAAATACGCTCACTAGTAGTAAAAAAGTTGCTTAAGAAATTCGTAAGTCCTTTTGGGTTTCGGGTAGCTGATTGGTTAGAGCAGACCCCTGGTCCCGAAAGATCGTAGGTACGAGTCCCATCATGGGGTACCCATTTTTAATTATAAGTACAATGTAGGTAAATATCAGTCATTGAAATATAAGATGTGAATACAATATGTATTTGCTATAAGACTTGAGTATGCTATACATTCATTCATTCATCTAAGTTATTGGGAAATGGCTCATACTTTTTGAAATCATTTACCATCGTCATAGAATTAACTTACCTCATAATGATGAGAAAAAAGTAAAAAATAACTGTAAACAACACCAGAGAATGGACTATGACAGTAAGCGATGAACAATTTTTTTGCTTGGCTCAAGACAGGAACAGATCTCCTGAGTTGACGGTAAAGCTTCTCTAATAGAGAGATAACGAAGTAACGAAGAAGAAGATTTACAGTCTTTCAACTGACATATAATTCTTTAATTTGCCTATTTATATTGTTATTTTGATGTAACACCATCCAAGTCTAATATACAACATATGAGTTGACATTATGTTTTATTTAAATTTTATTGTGCCAAAAATAATGGTGCATAAATTATTATTATGCAATATTGCCATCAATCCGATAAATATTATATTAAATTACAGATTATTTATTATATTTAAAAAAAAATAAGATTGATACTTATATTTTTAGGTGGAAAGCCACGATTTGATTTTCTTTAACCGTTGGTTCAAACTGAATTCTAACTAAGTAAAAATTATTTACTTACTTATTCAGAGAGCCACTAAGTTAAGATAAACTAATCTAGGATAGACATATAAAATTAGTTCCTTTTTTTTGTAAAAGTATATTTATTGTGGACAGTATTATAGTATATGACAATGATAAAGTGGAAGGGGAAAAAAAATTTTTTGGACGATTCAAAAGTGCTTGTAATAGCCTACTTTAATAAAGATATTTTCATTTTTTTTTTTAAATAAAGATATTTTCATTTCATTTCGATGCTGGGCGAATAATTAGAAACGATACTCTTAAGCTGTTGGTAAAATAAATTAAAGAGTAATTGTATGTTATAAAATAAAAAAATGTACATAAAAATAAATTAAACATATTTTAAACAAAAAATAATATTTGGTCGCATGTCCACGCCTCTTGATAACTGCTGTACTCCGACGAGGCATTGTCTCTATTTATTTTTAACATATTACATGAGAAATAGAATTCTATTCTTCCATGAGAACGACGTATAGTTCCTATATATTACCACAAAGTCAATTTGCTACCTTTTTTTTAATTTCACACCCACGAATGAAATTCCTTTACCGAGCGGGCTATATGTTTTGGACATTATCATGCCGAAATTTCCACATAATTAAAAGAAGCATAGGGTTACATTGTTTCTTCCAATATATTTTTGTATTGAACTTGATCCATGTTTCCTTCTACTAGCCTAATAGGCCTTATTCCATGACCAGAGAAGCAACCCCAAAATTTCAGGTTGCCACCACCATGTTTTAAAGTTACCTTAGTAAACTTAGGGTCAAATGCCTTAATAGAATAAATCGTCTTCCATCAGAGCACACTCTATTTATTTAAAAAAGTACATTTGACCACTGTTTTACTGATTACATATTTTTTTACAAAGGCAAGCCGGGCTCGCCTATGGCACTGTTTTAACACAGGTACCTTTCTTGCTTTTCTACCGTACGTTTTCTTCTACAAAACGCCTTCGAATAGTGCGTGCCGAGATCGCAAAGGGGTTTCCTTATCCAAAATATTCCTTCCGTATCTCGTTTGACCCTTTGAAAGGATTTAATTTCGCTAAACGAATGATGTTTCTGTCGTCTCGAAGAAATGTTTTTCTTAATCGTGGCATGCGTGGAATATATAAAGTACTGTTTAAAATGTTTCACAGCATTGAAGATTATGGTTTTCGAACATTGTCAGTTATTTTTTTATAAGACCAATTCTGCTCCCAAAGTTTTAATATAATCTCCTTTGTAAATTGGTCGCATATATATATATATATTTATTATTTAGAAAAATAACACTACTAAATGGCGCCAGTTTATGAGAAAATAGTATAACAATAGAGTTATTTATTTGTATTTGAATAAAAAAACAAATAGTTTGCGTTCTTGATCATATAACCAGCTAAAAAGAAGTAATTATAAGATTAGATTTTACGTTTGCGTAATTTATACTTTTCTTATTCGTGGTTTATTAAATCTTATTTATAGAAGAAAGTACCAACACTGTAGAAAGATTTTGGAATACCACAATAATATAAAAACAATTCATGAAACGGAGCATTCATTCAACGGAGTGTTCTTAATTATATGACCACCACTGTATATAAAGACTCCAAGAAGTAAATAACAACTACTTTTCAAGTCTGGCGTTTAACATTAATAACCTGCACCAAACCCACCTGTATTCACGAAATTTTTATATTATTTTTCGTTTAAATATATTATATTATTCGTTGATAAAAAATAAATTACGGAATTATATATAGAAGTCAATGTGAAACTGTATCGTTAATCTTATCTTACCTGTAAATACGCATCCGACGCCAGTCCACAGAGTAGAGCGCCGGTCAGAGCCCGTAGTACTGCCTTTCCCATATCCCCACACATTTTGCCTACACTAGTTGCTACGGCGATGGGTGATCACTCTGCCTGTCTCGTCAACACTGAAATGAGGCATACGATCACCTCCACTCCCCCACTTACTTTGGTAGGGTGCTGGCGAAATTTCAACTGCTAGGAAGGAGTACCGAACCGACCTTTCGAGAATCGTATAGTTTAAGTAAAATATGAAAGTCGAAACGTATAATGTAGAAGATAATCATGTATACAAATTGTTTTTATCACCTAATTAAAATTTAAATGTATTATCTAACAGAAGGGAGCGAAGTATTCACTTTATATTATCAGTAATAACTTTACAAGCAAACAAAATATTATTACTATATTTTTCTAATATTTGGTAACTATTATTATAAATGTAAAAAATTATCATAAATATGATCAGCTAATTATTTCATGACAAATTAACTGGAACTAAATACGTAACACAAGGTTAAACCTCAAACAAAGTTTCGCAAGTATTTGAATTAAGATTTAATGTAAACTACAAACGGAGTTTTACCTACGTGAACATTATCTACGATTTTACATGAAATAGTGATAAATCGTATAAAAAAAGAACAGTGGAATAAAACCTTTATTTCATTTTTTAAAGATGACGTTACCATTACTCTGCGCATCCCGACCCACGGAAAAAACAATGACCTATTCCATTATAATAAGACAATCGAACAAATATTTATTTTAATATTTAAAAATTCATTTTTTTTATTTTAAAATATGGAACTAAAATGTATTGTTTGAATTCTCTTTGTATGGAATCACAAATACCATATAGTTACAATTGTTCAATATGTAGGTTTATTTACGAGCACCTATTTTATAGAATTTTAGTTTCCTATATTTGTTAAATACGTCCAGTACTTTCGGACACTATTTAATGCACTCAAACAAACAATCCAATCCTTCATTTTTATATAATTAGTAAAGATCAAGTAACAAAAAACTTTCTATTGTTTTAAGAACAATAGACTTTGAGGTCGTGACTGCCATGTCATAAATTTTAGGTATAACGCAAAATCTTAATTGCTTACCGAGCAATAACAACTTAAGATATAACACTCAAATTTTATTTTAAACACCAAACTACCTGCAAATTGAAAAGGTTAATAAAATGAAACTCTTCAAGTTTACTAAAGCCATTCTAAAGTGTAACATATTGACGTAGAAATAAGAGTCATGGTCGTAACATGTTTATTATGCGTTTAGTCTGGCTGCTCTTGCGCAACGGTGGACCGGTAATTGTCAGCTGTTAGCGAAATATCCCTTATGAATTTGCTCATAAGTATAGTACAGTAATAGCGTATTAAAAATATATTTTACTTTACATATATTTTAATTATTCCGTGTTTTTATAAAACGAAGACTAAAGTTAGGAATTGCTTTAAGTTTAGTAGATCATTGACCGCCTAAAGCAATTTGACATTGATAGATGAGAAAACGTTAAATTAACACATTTTGACTTAATTTGGTCGTGTAATGGTTTACATCTGGTACTAAAGTTAGTCCTCGTTTTATAATAAGACGAAACATGTTGTAAATAAAATTATTATTGTTACAATTACGTTGAACATAGCTTATAATACGGTCGGTGTTTTCTTTCACCCGTTTTGGGGTTACACCAAAAAGTGAAAAATGTAAAATTACTAAAAGATTAGAAATGAATTTGACCCTCACTCACAAGTAAGCGCATCACAGACGATGCGAATACTTTATCACATAATTTCTCCTTTTCTTTTCGAAAGATCCCTATTACATTAAATACAAGATTATGGTATCCCCTATTTTAAATATACAAAACAAATTACTTTGAGAAGTAATACTAATTATTTGCATCTAATTATATATTTGAGTTGATATTATTAATTAGCTGAAATCCTACGCACACATTCCACGGGAATTTCCCTGACGGATTAGAGGGTTTCGGTAGAATAAATTACTAATATTTAACATAAAACCGATGAATTTAAAATAACATTGTATTAATTCATGTCTCAAAACAATAATGTTTACATAAAATCTGTAACGTTTTCTCTAAAAATTACCAAAGATCATCCATCATATCTCAATATCGTTTATCTCAATATAAGTTTAATTCAAAATTATAAGATTGTTATGTGTTATCGGATCTTATGATATTTTCAAATAGATGATACATATCTCCATCGTCTACGACGCGTTTTACATTAATGGATTTTAAGATTTACCCCATTGGATTAACGTATATAACATAAATGTTTTTTGAACGCAAAATTAAATTCTAAAATATGGTAGCTGTAAATTTTAATACTTTAACATTAATCTATTTTATCAAAAGTATTTTATCCTGAACAATACGCGTGAAAATCTGAACGGAACTTAAAATACCACTTAGTGACACGCCAGGAACTAAGCTTGAATGGTTCCCAGGTAGTGCATTTTTGTATACTCTCTGATGATTATACTTACGTATAGTAAGTATACATATCTTTATGAGCTCAATGGCGCAATGACACTCGGACTGCGATATGGTTAAGTCACTTTCGCAATGGCTGCTCAAAGGATTGGTGAGCAAAAATTTATTATCTCGAATTCCTCCATGCTTCGGAAGGCACTCCGTTAGTCCTAGCCGTATCTGAAGTCATTAACACCCGCCATTCACCTCTGGGTCTTCGTGGTGGGTCATGGCCATTGGGCCATGAATCGATTAGGTAGAATGCTCCCTATTCGATTCGATTCGATTCATCCGTAGAAAAGGCGTAAGCACCAGCAGTTGGAACATCAACAAACTGGTGATGATGATGAAATATTATTAATTCAAATGAACTTTCTAAAATATATATTCATTTGTATTTGTTTTATCTGACCTTTAGATCAGTGACCCAAAAGTTTTAAAACAGAGATTAGCTGAGTATTCGTTTATTTACTTCATATTCAGCAAGTTTAAGTCAATAAACTCTTTGTTAATATAGTAATTAAATTATGATCGCGAAAATTAAAATTATAAATGTTGATACGACATTTTTAATTATAATATTTTTAGTTTCTCTCCAAGTTAGAACCAAAAAATCATTTGCGGTTATGATTAATTTAAAAAGTTTGATCAATTTCATGTTCACAATAATTTTTAGGATTCAAAAGTTTTATTGTTTTTAGATAACTGTCTACTACAGCGTACATCATATGTAATATCTATGAAGTAAACATATTGGATACCTTTTTTACAAAAATTGCGCAGACTGAGGAGTCTGAAATTTGACACAATTAAAGTATAAATGAATAAAGAAAACATTACACACCACTACCATGCATTTGACATTTTTGTTTACTGATAACCAACAATCCTAAAAGATTTATAAGTCTTTTTAAGCTTCCCATACGACTTCGCCGGAATTCTCGTATATTATTATCTCTTCTCTAAATTATTTTGTTTAATCCCACTTACCCTTATTATCTCAAAGAACGTTTCAGTTTTCTGCACAGCGCAAATTCTTACATATTGCGATTATCTGAGAGCCTGAATCTTGAGATTCCGCTTCACAGTACTTCTTGTCACGCTTCTTCTTTCACTGTACAAGCTGCTCGTCTCTGGAATTCCCTTCCAGTTTCTATAAGGCGAGCTTCTATCTTTCACAATGCTACTGCTACTGCCGACTATATTCCTGGTATTGCATAATATATAGGTATATGTAAATTAATGTGTGTAGATGTATGGATGAATGTATATTCCAAATTACGTATATATCGTATATATTTGTGTTATGCATGGATTCACAACATATTTTGTTGTCTATTTTTAATTAAAATTATTTGAACTTATTTTCTTTTTAATGTTATTAATAACATTTACACCCCCGTCTTCATAAATTATTATCTCTCTCTTCATCCCATGGTTGCTTGAAAGATCTTGGAAAAAACTCACTTTGAACACATATTATATACTAAGACACAAGTGAGTTGTGACGTAACAAATTACTAAGCGCTTAGAAGCATGACAATTGAAAGTGTTTAACCGCTGTCTCTTAACAGTTATATAGCTATTGTTCTTTTCGTTTTACAATTTATGTGAAAACTGATATACAACATGAAAGTAGAAGGATGCAGTAACCGAGGAAGACCATTACACACCATTCACTATCAAATTTCTGTGCTGTGATCAAATCAAAGTGCTCTTAGAAGGTGATATCAGAAGTCATAAAACATGATAGACAACCATGATGTTGTCAGTTCAGCATTCGCTGGAAAGCCCCAATTTGAGATAAAAAAGTTTTGGTTCGTGTTCAGCATAATCAATTAATTCTAACATAATAAATAAATTTTAATAGTGATTTTATTACATCGTCAAGACTCAACTAATTTTAAAATTCGGGACATAAATTAACCTCATTGCCTAGATTAATACATTTTGATAATTTTATAGCATACTGAACTCGAGATTATCCCAATGTTATTATTATATTTTCTCTTCAGTTGTATCATAACTTATTTTTATAATAAAAACTAAACGCGTTATAAACATCAAACTTAGAGCTCTAATGTGTTTAGATTTTGCACCGAGTGCAGAAACAAGATCTAAGTTGTATTAAAGCAAGTCGGTGTCAACGATCCCACCAAACGAGTATATTTCGAAATACTCCTGCGCAGACCTTCCCTAGACTTGTTTCCTTTCTACACATCCGGCCAAAATAATTCATATCAAGCAATTATGTTCGAAATAGGGAGTAGTTGTTAAAACATGAATGTGTAAATACCGATCATATAATTAAAAAATTGATATATATATATTATATTTTAAAAATAATTCTCAAAGCTACCTTGTTGTACATGTACATTTAATATATTTGTTATCAACTGGACCTGGAGTTTTTCTTTCTATATCTTAGTTGCGCTTAATTTCATAGTAATTTATGGGTGATATTTTACAAATAATTGTATCTATAATCAGATCACTATGTAGTTTAATTTCTTTACTAAGTCGTCGGGGCATTGAAGTTAAAGATCACAACAGGCGTCAGTGACCACGTAAAGGCGGCATATCTCGACAACAACGTTCG